GTAATCCCAGCAGTTTGGAAGGCCAAGGCGAGTGGATCACCTGACGCCAGAGGTTCAAGACCAACCTGGCCAACATGTCAAAACCCCGTCTCTACTAAAAATACAAAAATTAGCCAGGCGTGATGGTGTGTGCCTGTAATCCCAGCTACTCGGGGGAGGCTGAGGCAGGAGAATTGCTTGAACCCAGGAGGCAGAGGTTGCAGTGAGCCGAGATCGCGCCACTGCACTCCAGCCTGGGTGACAGAGCGAGCCTCCATTCCTACACATACACACACACACACACACACACACACACACACACTAAAGATTTCCTAAAGGAAGATAAGTCTTTTCTCACTATCTTCCTACCCTTACCACCAAGGTATTCAATAATTTACTCTAATGTGGCTTCCATCTTCACGTCTCTTCCTAAAGTCATTAATGACTTCCAAAATGCCAAAGGCATTGAAAGCCTGCAGTTCAAATCCTTATTTAACCTCTCATCAGCATTTGACACCGTCAGAACTGTTTCCTTTGACTATTCCACTAGTTGGCCCACCACCCGCACTGCAACCACCCCTCTTCCTCCACGTGTTCAGAGTTCTTTCCTTCTGCCCATTACTTAAACCGTTCTCAGGGACCCTGGCCCTAGCCCTCATCTCTTCCTTCTCTGTGTTTGCATCTTTAGTGAGCTTTTCCACGCCTGCAATTCAGTTATCCCTAGTGAACTAGCCGCACTGCCCTCACCTCTCTTCTTAGATACGGACACCTGTATCCAGATGGTGACTGGCCCATTCCGCTGGATGAACTTTCCAAAGACACCACACACTCGGCAAGCAACTTTTCAGTACATTTTCTTCTTTTTCAGCCCTTCAACAGATTAGACCAGAGTCTTCAGGGAAAAGCAGATACGAGGGAATCATCTTTTAGGACAGGGAAAATCTAAGCGATTCTGCAGCTGTGGGAAGGAAGGTGGTAGAGAAGAGCCTGAATTTGGGGGCAATGAGAGGACAGGAACTGAATCCTGACAACCATGAAGCAGACAGGAAGAAGGTCTTTTCTTCTTATAGCTGTATTTTATATTGTATATGCCACGTGCGCTTTAATAAATTCATGTCTACTGTGTGTCACAGCAGCATTGATTTTTAAAAATTTGAATTACTTGCATGCAAACCTTTATTTTGACATCTGTAGTTAGGCAAAAATTGCAGTTAGGGCTAATTTGTACAATTAGCTAAATCAAGTGTTCCTTTTCCCTTTAAAAATGTTCTTTATATATTCCATTTCTAATGAGTATGAAGAATCCTTTTAATTCAATTGATACACAACTAGCATTTTTCAATTAAAGCCCTTACTTTTTAAGAAATTCATATTCTGCAGCAAACAGGAGTTACTTCCTTTTTCAGGTCTCCAGCCCATCAGATTTCATTCTTGTGATACTTACTTGCAAAATGTTCCTATGTGATACATTCCTATCTGTGGCCACAATATTGTCTCTCTTTTTAAATTTTTTTTAATTTTAGAGACAGAGTCTCACTCTGTCACCCAGGCTGGAGGGCAAGAGTGCCTTCATGGCCTACAGCAGCCTCAAACTCCTGCACTCAAGCGATCCTCCCACCTCAGCCTCCTGAGTAGCGAGGTCTACAGACGCATGCCAGTACCTCCAGCTAATTTTTTATAGAGACGAGGTTTTGCTATGTTGCCCAAGCTAGTCTTGGACTCCTGGCCACAAGTGATCCTCCTGCCTCAGCTTCCCAAAGTGCTGGGATTACAGGCTTAAGCCACCACACCTGGCCTGACATTTTTCCATAGCGTTTCCAAGTTTACTGCAAGTTTATTTAATTAAAGTAAATAAACTCACCTGTTTTACTTTTGTGGCAGCGAGAACAAAGAAGCAGGAAACAGGAAGTAGGGTTAAGGAGAGATGGTGGAAGCCTGCAGAGAGGTAAGATTATGAGTTAGGCTCGGTTTCTTAACTTACGCATCTAATGCAATAGTATCAAAAAAGTGACCAGCATTGACAAATAACTAACAAAAATACGTCTCCCGTGAAAAATACGTCTCCCGTGGGTTCGTCAGAAAGGATTCAGAGTGGCCTGGAAAGATGGCAGATACTGTGTTTGGGGTTTCAGAGAGTGGACACGGCATCCTGGGCCGAAAGCTTCTTATGGGGTGAAGCACGGTCAGCCAAGAGACACTATTTCCTTTCCTCTTTGCTCGCCTTTCCTGCCTTCGGTCCTCACTGCCTCACGTCACTGCACTGATGCCCCCTTCTCGGGTGCACCTGGGGAGCAGTGCACAAGGTCCACCATAAAGGGCCGGGTGGACAGGGGCCCGCCCTCCCTGCCTCAGTGGAAGTCCTCAGCTCCCTGTCTGGCCACTGAGGTGGGAGGAGCGCAGGCAGCGCTTGCCCTCGGCTTCTCCTCCCGCAGAAGCCCTGCCCCTCGCACTGGCACGGTGGAGATGAGCTTGCTTTTCCCTCTGGTTCAGCCCCTTGGCTGCTGTAAGGACCAGGCAGAGGCTGTGGACTGGCCCTTTGTGCTTGGCAAAAGTGCACAGACAGAAGACAGGGATTCCCGGCTGGGAGGAGGGAGGCTGAAGATCCTGCCTGGGCTGGCTGAGCTAAGCAGCCCAAGTGGGAAGCTGAGTGCTTGGGAGAGGATTATGCTCGCACTAGAAGTAAGCAGTAAGTGAGCGAATACCGTGATGGCTTAGAAAAGGATTAATCCCCCCGGGGTTATAGGGTGAACTAGAAAATACCGCTTAATTGTGGAGTGAAACTGTCAGGCTCCGGCTTTGCGTGCTGTTGTGTGCTGTTTGGAGACCAGAGGTTTAAGTTCAAAACCAGAGCTCTAAATGCCTCCTCCCACTCTTGGAAAATGCCAGCTTCTATTTAGATTAGTTGGGGGACATAATTTCCTTCCCTGAACTAGCCTCGCCCCAGGAAAATTTACTGCTAAATTAGATAAGGCGTTGAGATTGGAGGGGCGGAATTTGGTATTGCAGAAATTGCAGTTTTGAATGATGTTCTCTGAGCGCTGACATTCTGTCTACTGGCAGTGGTTGTCAAGAAAACTTAGGGTAGGGCATTAAAAAGGGGAAATCGAGAGCTTTTATGATGAGGAGGCTGAAGAGTCCATATGCATAGAAGTAAATATAAAAACTATAAAATAGATGGATTTTTTTAAAACATTAAATGGGAACAACAGTGGAGGAGCATCAAAGTGCGTGGATAAAAATTAGTTAGAAAAAGAAGTTTTCATTTCAGTGACTTTTTTGTGTGAGCCAAAAATTTCACAATGTTTACAAAGCCAAGACGATGATTCAGGAATACTTCAATTATGGTCGTACATTATTAATGCTGTTGCTGGGCAAGATCTGTGGCTCTCTGGTCAGCAAGTTCTGGCAAGGAAGCCACTGCCAGTGGCACAAAGAATTCTGGGATGTCTGACAGTGAAATGGATGGAAGGACCCACCTTCCCTCTCTACTTAATGTCCTTTTGTCCAGAAACCGGGCCATGCAAATGAGCTACTTGGTACGTATACAGATCAATATTTGGAAAGGCATTTCTAAGTGTTTTGCATTAGAGGGTCTCTAGACAATATCTTATGGCAACCAGTGAACAAAAAGAATACAAAAAGTGATAGGAAGGAAGTCAGCTTGACTGAAACCAACCTTGTTTGTTTTGTTTTCCATCAGTCTTGAAATGGAACCTCAAATGAGGACAAGAATAATAATAGGCAGAAATGCTGTGGCCATCTGTTCTGTTCTGAGTGGCTAAGTTCATTAATATATGAATGAGAATTTGGATTTTATTTATGCATCCTAATACTTGGAAAATTCAGAAATCTCTTTATTACAGTAAAAAAAAAAACCACAAAAATTGGAGATACGTTTTTGCGGAAAAAAATGTGTAAATCTGGTTTTTGAATGTTATGGGGAAAAAAATAAGAATTGTGTTTACAGTGTGAAGATTTCTATCATGTTCACTGAAGGGTGTATCTCTTCCCCCAATGAGACAAGGATCCTAATACGACACAGTGGGTGCAAACAGAAGTATTTTTAATTCCCTTAATTCAAATTGATGTGGTTAATAACTAAAGCAAGAATGTTAAATTAAGTAGCCTTGAACTACAGCTAACGGTGTAGTAATTTTTATTTTTCATTTGTTACTGGTATGAAGACTCAACATGACATTTCTAGTATTCTTGTCAACCATTGCATTGGAAGAAAAAAAAGGTGCAGACATATTATCTCTCTCCTGTAGCACATGTGTAAAGTGATTATTGTTATCTGTGTCCTTTTCTAACTTTAGAATTTATAGATTTTGCTACAGAGGAAATAGACGGAGAGTGGTCATTGGGACAAAATTACTTATGACAAAATGCCAAAAAAAGTACATCTTAATGAACTCTTAAAATAGTCTGTCCTCCAGCCTTTCAAACGTGTAATTCTAAAAATTCTTTTATTTATCTTTTTAAACTTATTTCTGAGTTGGTTTTCATAAGCCAGTATTCACCTGACTTATAAGCAAGTGTTGAAAATCTGAAGATTCATTATCTGAGTTGCATAATACTTCTATTTTTCTTAAAAATACGTAAGACATTAAAACAAAACATTGAATAGTTGGAAGTATTGTGTATAAAACTGAATGAATTTTCAATCTTTAAGAAAAGTATGCTAGGACTCTTCAAAGAATTGCTTATTTATCTCAAAGTGTTAAAGTATCTTTTCTGATACTACAGGACTAAAAATAGAAGCATAAGAATATGGAGTAAAAGATTAAAGGTATAAGTTGGATAGTGGGGGCTAAGCTGATATTGTTAATAAATAATTATAAGACAGCAGTTTAATAATAAACGCATTTGCTGTTGTAAATGAGAGCTTGATACAAAGAACGTTGCATTGTGACTAGTGAACAAGGCTAAGTAAAGACTTTTATCTTGAAAAATATTAAGTAGGAATTAAGATTATTAATGGAGAGAAACTAAATGATCATTTAAAATTGTTCTTTCACAAGAAAAGTAAAGAACAAGGATATGGAAAACTAAGCAGTGATGAAGACCTCGAAATAATTGTTGATCAGAAGCAGGTAAGTGAACGCTTACATACATTTTCTATCGTTATACTGTATATTTTGATGACTAAAGCCTTTTGAGTGTTCAGCCTTTCTCTAGCAGCTGTATTAGTCTGTCTAAAGCCTGCATAACAAGATTTTGAGAGCAGCTAAGCCTCTCCATATGATGCCTCTGATTCACTGACTTCTAAATGATGCCAACATGCAGGTCCTATATGTAAGAGTGATGGAAATAAAGCTAGAACAAGAGAACTTTTGGAAAACTAAAGGCATCACTTGGTAAAATGAATCAAAACAACAATGATAATTTGTTTGGGAAAAAAACAAGAACACTAAAATATATTATCTTGAAAATGAGAAACACTGCCATTATTCTATCTTGTAAAACAATGAATATAATTTAGAGGGAGAGAGAGAAAACTGAGAACTTTAAGACATATATAGTGCCCATTTTACTTTTCCAGATTGTCTGCAATATATGTAGAAATGATTCTGAACACAAAAAGAAGAGGCCATTTAATCATCTGTAGTACCACCTGTAATCTGAGAAACCTCTAGCTTGGATGTTCTATGGGCCCATAAGGTGAAATGAAAACTGCTTAACAGACCATAAACAATGACATACCAGGTAGTGGAATGTTTCCAGGCCTTGCCACTGAGTTAGCACTAGCCCTTAACATCTTTGTCCATTATCCAGGAGACAAGCTAACTGCACATCTATTTAATGCCTAAGTGGCACAGTGTCTGAGAGTGTTGCAAAAGGTGCAGAGAGAAATAATTCAAAGGGATCTGAGTAGATTAAGAGTTTAGAAAGAAAGCAGTCAGTAATTTACAGAAAGGCACCTGAATTTGCTCAATTTCCTCATCATAACAATTGCATTCAGAGAGCTATTGTACGTATTTCCAAAAAAAAAAAAAAAAGAGGAAAAATGACCATCAGAAGGTAACAACCAGGCATAACTGACTGACTTGTTAGGCTTGGAATAATTAAGGTAACTGAGGTGGTCTTCTGGAAAAACTTGCCAAAACATCTCTCCCCCGAGGCATAGAATATATTGATTTTATGGTATTCACTCAAACTGCTTCCGAGTTTTTCTTGTATCATCGTTGCTCTCCTGCTCCTGTGTAAAACGGGGTAGGGAATGTGTGGGTTTGGCCCTGTATTTCTGCTCAGCGCCAAGTTGTCAGTTTAGTTAACAAGGTGAGTGGAGCCTCAGCCCATGTGCTCTCCTGGGCTATTAACTATCACTTTATGCCAGATTAATTAATTACTTGGGGCATGCAATCTGTGCCTCACACTGATCCCCCCTGAACTGGGATTCTGGTCAAAGGACTGACCCACCTGGCAAATAAACTAGTAAAATACATCTGGGTATTTTATGAGAATACAGATATGTGTACATTTCTGTAATAGAATGAAAAATTAGTTAATTCCTTAATCATATAGAAGTTAAATTCTTATTTTTTTCTTCTTTATTATCTTCCTACCACAAAGCTTTTCTTTTCTTTCCTTCGTTTTTGACTAAATCTTTGCGTTTTAACTGAGTTTTGGTGTCGAGAAAACTACAAAGTTCTATTTTGAGATCCTTGTGGTAAAAAGCCAAAGGAAGCCAGTGTTCTTTTTTTCTCATGACACCTTTGACAAAATTTATATTGTTGTGGCTAAACGCATTGTACTAACTGTTACGGAATTTTAAAGAGAAAAAAGAAGAGAACAAAACCTTCCCACTTCTTCAGAAAATAGCACTGTTATTACCTGGATCCAGTGAGGGTGGATTCAATTTTCTCAGAGTCGCTGTTTGCCTCTAGTTATCATGTTTCTTCCAGTGCCATTGCACAAGTTGGTACCATTTGGCAGTGACTCAGCTTTGCTGAGTTATTCACGTCAAAACATATTTCAAAGGATGAGTAATTATGAATATGAGCTGGCTTTGGTGTTTGCTGTTGGCAGTAAAAGTAGTCCTTCCTTTTTCTGAGAGATTTGGTGTTGATGTTATGAGCAAATCCTAGGTTGAAACAATGACAGTGTTGGTATGGCAAAGGAAAATATTTGGGGAAACACTGTCATACGTCTTTATAAAACCATAAGAAATTATCCCAAAGTTTAAGAGGTCAACAAATTAAGCATATGTGTATGCATGTGTACATTTGTGTTCCAAAAATGGAATATTGCTTAATCTCATAGATATGAGTTATACACATATTATAAAATTATACATATATGTTTTATATGTATAATAAAAATTAAAACTATAGCATTATATGCTATTTTGTCAGGAATCTTTATGTTCAGTTTATTCTTCCCGTATCTTTTTTCAAAAACCTGGTAGAAATGTGTCATAGTCAATCTTCATATAACTGAAAGTAGCTTTTCTAGTAAGTGGTGTCAAGAAAATCTAAAGAGGATGAATAAAATAACTGGAGTGCTGCAATGGGCAGAAGTCTCCTAATTTTTTTAAATCCGTCATTCTGAAGCCGTCACTCCACAAATGCTGTGTAAGCTATAAGCCATTTTATCAGTCATGTGATTTGCAAATCTTGTCCTTCCACGGAAAGCCCACAGTCTTGCTTATAGAAGCAAAGTAATAACAGAAGCAGTGCCGTGTATGTGGATTTTGTTCTCCCTGGCTGCCTTCACTCAAGAAGGTAAAAGATGATTTCTGTGTTATTTCAACAAGGGAAAAAAGGTAAATTTCAGAAATGTGTAAGGTTCTATTCCTTAAAGACAGTGTTGTGTTTCTCTCTTTGTGAAGTTGTACTGACAACATTTATTTGAGATACATATAAAAGCATTTCCGTAAACACTTACATAAGTGTTGGTGTCCTATGGTAATAGCTGCCATATAATACACACACACACACACACACACACACACACGAATTATTTAAATAGAAATATATTACACTGGGGTCAGAATCCATAGTTTCCACCAGAAACCCGAAAGGTTTTCAAACTTTAAGCATAGAAAGTAATCAAAGGGAATGTATTGGATTAAAATCTTAATACCTCCAAAACCCAAACATTTGACATAAAAATAATATAACTGTAATTAGTAAATGCTATATTTGGCTTTATAAAATAAATATTGAAAGATAAAGTTTAAAGATGTATATCTTTGTAATTTATGAAACTATTCCTTCCTTAACGGAGGAGAGGAGGGTCTTGTTTAGGTTTCGTGTACACATGCATTTCCTTCGGACATTACTGAGGTTTCAGGTGTGGGACTGGCCGTGGAGGAGCAGCTAGGAGAGTGCCTTTACTTAAGCATTAAGCACTTTGAGTACATTCATTCTATTATAAATTACTATTTTTAACTAGAGCTAACTTATCTCAAGGTTTATGATAAGCTGGACCTAGATGACATCTTTTCTAAAAATGTTTTCAAACTCCAAGTAGACTTAAAGGAGGTAACAAAGACTAATAAATCTGTAGAATATTTTGATACATGATGGATAGAGTCACAGGGTTAAGCACTGTAAAAACGGGTTTGACAGCGTGTTGGGGATTTGCTTGGTTATAGGTCAGAGTTCCAGCTGCACAGCCTTTAGTGCAAGTAGGTGGGGAAATGTCGAATTTCAGCCAGTCACAAGGGGAACAAGTGTGTACAGTCAGCAATAGTTCTCAAGCTTTAGCTGCTCAGCATCCCCAGGAGGGCTTGATATAACACAGATTGAGGGGCCCTGCCCCTAGGGTGTCTGATTCTGTGGGTCTGAATTGCTGGCGGCCTGAGAATTTGCATTTCTAAGTATTCAGCTACTGCTGCTGGTTCCAGACCACACTTTGGGAATCACTGGGTCGGAGAAAACTAATGCAGTTCTAAAGGAGGAAAAAATATGTAACTTGTGAAAAATTTAACGTTCTTCAACTTGGCATTACCCAGGGATCTAAACACTGGAATTCATCAGCATTTAACATAATAACAAAACAGGAAAACCATGGTCACTCACAACCAAAGGCAACTTTTAAGAACCAGGTTGTAGTCTGGCTGAATCCACGTGGAAACCTGGTCATCTTCAACCTCTCTGAGCTCAGTTTTCAAATACAAGTTTTCTTATATTATTTGTAAAATGATACTCTGCTCTTCCCACCTCCTAGAGTTCCTCTGAGTTAAAATATGTAGAAATGTTCTATAAAGTGTATATCATTTATGTCATTTTAATTAGCTAGGCATCACCACTTTACTCCCCACCTCCCTTTATCCCCAATTTAGCAACCAGGAACTCTGAGATCCAGAAAGATGAATGAAGTCACCACGTCCCTGCTTAGGTGCAGAGAGAGCCCTAGAAGCCAGCTCTCCCTCCTGACACCCAGTCCCACGCTCTTTCTGTCCTCTCACATAGCTCTGTACCATTGCCCGTTCCTGATCATCCTATAAATGGATTCAGAATCTGTTAGCCTCAGGGCTCTAATTATATAAAATAACCATCTACCAGGAATTGTGGTAAGTCGTCGATGTTTATTTATCGAACCCTCACAGGAATAAACCTCTCCACAAACACTCCTTAACTGTTTAGCTTCCCTCTTGACCCCTCTGGCTTTGTCAGGAGACACATGCCCTTTAAAGAAAATGTAATTAAAACTAGAGCTAAAAGGTAGTTGTGAAAACCACTTGTCTTTCCTCTCACAACCTCTACCAGGAGAGGAGAAGCTCCGCCAGGCATGAGGAGACAACACACACTCTTCCCAGCTTCCGACCTTTTTGAGAGTCTCTTTTTCCACTCGTAAGGGAAGCCAGAGCAGAAAACAATGGAAAATAGAACTTCTGTGATTTTTTTCTGAAGAAAAAGAAGAGATAAATTATAACCTCACCCTTGTGCCTCCAATTGCACATAAGCATTCAAGTCAAATTACAATTCTGTCCTAGTGATTGTGGTGAAAACGGATCCTCAGGAGAAAAATATCGGCCAACATGAAATTAAAATGGAAGAACAAGAAAGGCAGATTAACAGAGACAATACCCAGCGTCCATCTGGTGCTAATAGGTAGTGCGATCTTACCAACATCTAAGTGAGTA